GACAACAAAAGTTTCGCTGGCAGTATATGAATAGCAAAAACATGGTGAAAATAGCAGAAAATGACGGGGACAGCAAACCCCATGACAAATGGGGAATCTTTGTGGTAAGGGAAGAAAAAAAGTTGTTTTTTGTGTTTTCTTCTGCATGGTATGAAATGGGACAATTGTGATTATTTTACTTGATTTACTAGGACAAGTACATGGTGTAATTGGAAAAACACTATGAATTACATTAGATGGTGATTGAATTACATTAGATGGTGATAATATAGAACCATATGATCAGATAACAACTTGATATGTATTCTTTATAGATTATAATTGTTCAATGAATTTTTCATCGCATGGTAACGATTGTCCGGTAGTGTTTTATTTTTCATTTGTTTTCTACAAATCAGAATGATTTGAAATTTGGAGCATGTGTACATCTTAGTGAGGCGCACCTAATAAAAATATAAATAAAATAATTAACTAAAATAAATTGATCAAAATACCCCCGAAAATTTTCGGGGGTATTTTGATCATTTTTTTCATATAAAATATTTTTTTGATATTTTTCGTAGATTCGCCTATTTTTTATGAACACGCGCTCTAAATTTCAAGTCATTCTGATTTGTAGAAAAAAAAATAAAAAATAAAATACTACCGGGCAATTGTAACCGTACGATGAACTTTGGACGTGATGAGGGTAGACGAAATCACTGTTCATTTTCGCCTATAGGCGTTTTGTATTATCTTATTTTTTTATAGTAGTTTTATAATATATATATATATATATATAACAACATCAACTTATTTTTTTTTATAATGACGATAAGAGATATATACGAAATTTTCCCTTCTTTTTACGCTAAAGGGAGTTACTTTAACCATGACAATATAACCAAGCTACTAATGCATTTATTTGCATTTCAATATGCAGATCAAATAAGCTACCCAAAACACATTATTTCAATAAGCTACCCAAAACACATTGCTTCTATGTTTCTGGCTGCCCACACCACACTAATAACAAGTCAGTGTACTGTGTTACCTCTATATTTATGAGTTTCTCTTAGTTGATATCATAGCTAAATGAATCATATTATAGTCATTGTATTGTATTACCTCTATATTTATGAGTTTATTTTAGTTGATATCATAGCTAAATGAATTATATTATAACAGGGAATGATTTTATGCAATGGTTGTATCATAGTATAATGCAACCACATTTCTAGAAAATCATGTTTGTGGTATTTGTATTACTTAAATTTTGCACACACACTTTTTGTCTCAATAATAAATCCCAAACAAAAAAAAAAAAAAAAAAATCAATTTGAACCCTCTAGATAAGGTCAAAATTAGTCCTCTCTAACAACGAATCTAGGTCATTCATTTAGTGAATTTCAAGATCTTAGCTGATACAAACTCTAAATCATTTTTTTCCTTTTTAACATTGTTCATCTAATGACAATAAAGCCATCTAAAAAAAATGGAAAAGAAAAATCCTTCTAAGGCCTAAATCTAAGTATCTTATCAAAATGAATGGCCTATGTTAAGTGGGTTAACAAAATATGTTATAAGTTCCATTTTTATGATTGTTCATTAGAATGAAAGTAATGTATATTTCAAAAATTGGATCAAACAAATGGCCCTAACATGCTTTTTCAATATTGTTGTATTATACTATGATATAACCGTTGCATGAAATTACTACTTTATAAATCGGCACTAGAGGACTCCTGACGAGTGCAAAGATTATTGTCATAATAACTAGGGAACTTGAAAGATTCCTACCAAGGTTTGTGACCTGTAATCCATAAAATTACAGAAATAGAAAACAATATTTATTTATGACATCACTTTAAATCACGACCAACTTCGCCAACAAACTTATTTTAAATATCCATAAATTCACTACCATCGTCCACGAGTCCGTATTATTGACTCAATTTGCAAGTCAATTATATTTTAGCTTGAATGAAGCTATGAATTTTTCAATAGGGAAAGTCTCCTTATGTGGGACTTTATGCACCCTTCTAATAATACATATTAAACATGGTCATATCCGAAGGTCATCAAATAGTTTTATATTTTATTTAAAAATAATATATAGAATTTAAAGTATGGATGCAGTTTTTGTATAACACATCAAATAAAAAATATATATATATATTTTCAACAAAAAAAATTGGCCAAAATATTCTTAAATTATTTCAGTAGTCATTTTGTTCAAAATATTTTTATTATTTCTATTTGGTGCTTCATATAAAACATAGTTAATACTATAAAATTTCAATAAATATTAACTTTTATAAAAATTAAAAATAAAATTCATAAATATTTTTTTAGGCCGATGATACCAGGTTCAATCTAAACTATTAAAAGATGCTTGTGCAAGGATGCTATACGCTATCCTTGCTCGATATTATTGCATCTTCACAAAGAAAGTGGGCTCCAAACTTTCTCAATTGGATTAAAAAAGGCGAATTGTTACTTTGGGCCTCCTCTCTCTCTCTCTCTCTCCACATAGGAGTAAATGAGATTGAGTCTATTCTTTATTATCGTGTATCTCTCTCAGCCAAGAGTAAAGGAGTAGGCTCTAAGCCATCTAGGACGTACCTTTGAAATATATTGTTTCATTTTCAGAAATATTTGTGATGGCCTTAAAATATATTTTCATCTTGAATTATAAAATTTAATGATTAAAAAATATTGTAGATTGAGTAGATTTATAAATACTTTAAAATCTTGAAATTGACGGTCTAAATAATATATTATAAAATGTAGTATTTTTACAACTTGAAATCCATTTTTTCTCATGTCTCTACATCTAGAGGTCATGATGATCGAATTGAGTTTTTAAGCATCGAATTTATCTCCTCTAGTGAATTTTTGAGGTGCACCATAATTTGATTGTTTAGGCCTCACCCTATTTCATATTATTTATTAGGGTTTGTCTTGAGTTAATAACATATCAAAATACAAAATACAAAAGTTAAAATTAGAAGAAGTTGTGATGAATGTATTTATCAAAAAAATCATTACTTTTTGTTTAAAAAGTTATTTTAATAGGTAACTTAATCATTAAATGACAAATTTGAAATTTTTAGAAAAATACAATAGCATTTTAAAAGTTAGTGTCTTAAAATTTTATTTGTAGAGTGTTGTTGTCTTTTAATAAAAATTTAAACTTTACTCTTAATGGAGATGACAAAATTATCAATTGTCTTGTAGTAATATTTACAAAATTGTACTTACTTAATGATGAAGATATCACAAAAGTAAGTTTTTTTAAAAAATAAACTACAAAATTAGTAAATCTACCATTCACAACTCTTTATATATTCAACTTTTGTAATTTAATAGGTTATAAAGTCTAGATTATCCCTATTTATTATTATGTAATGAAGTCGTAAAACATGATTTCAGTCCGGAGAGAGAAGAATTTAGTGCACTCCGCTATTATATTATGCAATGAAACAAAGCACACCATTGCATTAAAAAGCGGCCATGCAAAATATTTGGTAGATACATGCACGAAAGGTAAAATATAGAGAGAGATAATCCACATACACAAAAGAGCGAATTTGACAGAACCCTATATTTAGAAACCCCAAATATTACCCATAACAATCTTAAGAAAATCATATTTTTTCCAATTTCCATTTAGACAGAGATTGAATGTCAAAGTCGAAAAGTATTTCCGAGGTTTGAAAAACGGGTGAAGTATGGGAGTTGTTCCCCTAAAATATCGGGAACGAGCTATATCTTTTACTTCAATTTTTTTTTTTTCAAATTTTGTTATGGAATTTTTTTTGTTTTTATTGTCCAATTTACTATGCCAAACTGCTGTTCCATACTAGCTTTCGAGGGCACCAATCTGTTTTTTTTAACCTTGAAATAAATCAAGAAACAAGCATGAACACCCTCTCATGGAAGCAAAATGTACAAACCTATCTAGGATTATTTTGTTGATCTAACTTTATGATTTTTGAGATTTATTTTAGAATTCCTATATAAATTTAATTATTGACCTTTTAAGTCCTTATATATGCTTATTCAGGAATTTGACATTAATTTTTCAGGCCAAAGCAAATATTTTGAATGTGGTTACTAAGGTTACCTCCTTAAAACTAGAAGGTGCAGTTTGCATAAGGCTATCGTCTTAAACAATCAAAGTAAGATACACCTCCAACTTTGTCATGAGATGCCACTTAGTGTCGAAAATTCTTAGGATGGTGCGATAATATATTTTTATTTATAATTATAAAATTATAAGCTCCAAAAATAATTCAAATCAAGTTGATAGGTAAACGCATTTGAAAATGGATAGTCCTGTAAGATGTATTATTTTTAGAACTTGAAATCTATTTTTTTCTCCATACATATACATCTTGATGTTAAGATCATCAATTAGATATTTTTCTAACATTAAAGCAAGCTTTTTCCAAGGATTTTAAAAGTGCACCTTGGGTCTACATTTTAAAGTATCAATCTCGTGCAAACTTTTATGAAAAATAAATGAAAAATTGTTTCTTGCAGGCTGGAGCACAGTTCTACATATGCGGTCCAGATAAAGATGGATGCACCTAAGTGTTCCATCTAAAAACAATGGAAACCAATTGTCCAAATGTTTTCTTACTAGAATTATTATTTATAGTTTTTAAAAATTATTTACTTTTTCACATTCATGATGTCCCTGTTTTTAAAAATTAATTCTTAAAATCCATCCTAAGAATAGATTTATCATGAGGGCCGCATTTCGGCATATGCGGGCTTGGCCGCATAGAAAATGGGTCCAAAATAAATAAATACCCGTGGGAGCTTACACCCGCGGGAGTATACAACAAACGAGCAAGGGGGGGTTTCAAATGACACAGAGGGCGTCTTTGATATATAGGGCAAATACAAAGGCGGACATGAATGTGGAGTAAACGAAAAATAAACCGAAGTGTGGAAGCAAAGCGGGGAAGGGAGAAGGGAAAGGCATAATAAAAACCTACTTTTGACCGCCTGCAGGTTTAGTTGTGAAGACTCTTTCTCTCTCCTCTCTCGTATTTTTGTGTCGATCTTTTTCTCTCTCTTCCCTTTTACTTCGTAGGGGTGTATTCCCTAGCGCTCTTCTTCTTGGGCACACGCCTGAGAAATATCAACAAAAACCGAAGAAGAAGCCATGGTTCTCTCCACTCTATTCTCTCACTTCCCTGCAGATTGAGAACATCCTCTCTCACCGCTTTTCTATCCAGCTTTCACAGGTCGTAAGAATAACCCTAATTTTCCCCTTGCATGTCTTCTCTTAACCCTTTAAATTCAGTTTCTTTCCATTAAAACCATTTATTTTTAGGGCTTCTTACAAGTGTTTTCTCTGGTTCTTTTCATTAAGGTGTTAATGGATCTGGTTCTGTTGATTCTACGGATTTGGGTTTTCTATGGCTCAGTGGATTTGTTGTGTTTTTTTTGGTAGGGGCAGGGAGAAAGAGGAGACAGACAGGGATTGGATATATGTCCCTCAATCAAACCAGAGCTGATAAAAGTGACGCACAGATTAGAAAGCCTGGGCGCAATCTTGGGAGCTCTGGTCATCAACCGAGGTCTTCCTACCCTTCAAAGGGTGGCGGCTCGTTGGGGACCGCCCCCCCAAACTCCACTTCTTCTTCTTCTTCTTCGAGTCGAGGGTAAATGTTTAGATACTCCATTGCCGATTATCTGTTTTATAGGATCCTTTTAACCTAGAATTCTTTTGGGTTGTTTGGTTTTGATGGTTCTATGGGTGACCCCTAGGGTTAGGGCTTAAAGATTCAAATGTTATACGAAGTTTCATTTTTCAGATAAATATTTTGTTTTCTTTGGTTGGATCTTTGAACTTTTGAATCTTTAAAAGAGTCTCTCTTTCTATCTCCGTCCCTCTCTCTCTCTCTCTCTCTCTCTCTCTCTCTCTCTCTCTCTCTCTCTCTCTCTCTCTCTTCGTTCTCGTTCTTCGTTCGTTCGTTCGTTGTTACGTTAGTTACGTTACGTTAGTTACGTTAGTACGTA